GCTGTGGGAAGGGAGGGTTTTTAAAGAACGAAGTCAGTACAGATGATTTTCTTTTTTCTTGACATCTGGCATTCTGAGGAAACGGCCTTGGATTTATAACGCCTGTGGATGTTGGTACTTGCAACATTAAGCAGAACAATTGAGTTTGGGCTCTTAACTCCTTTAAGCGTGTCTCTGTAAAATCAGATCATGCTGGCTAGCCATTTGTTCTAGAGAGTGTTGTGTTTATTTTCTCACCCCATCTTCCCCCAAGGCTAGAACTATGGCAAAAAAAAAAAGTAATCTGAGAAAGGGAACACATGTTTATGAAGTACCTTGTCCATGCTGGGCCTTGTTCTAGAAGCTCTGCCCACACAATCATCAAAATGATCAGCCCAGAATTATGATGATGCTAATTTCAAACAGGAAGAAGTGAACGCTCGGCTTATTTAAAATACGCCTAAAACCACAAGGGTGAGGAGCATCAGAGCCGAGACTGAAATGCGGTCCTCCTGAATCTTCCACCCGCTCTTTTCATTCTCCCACTTTCCTCCTCACAACTCCACGTGCAGGCTTTCTCTCTCACATGGTCAGGCAGCACCGCCAAAGATACCACACTCCACTGAAACCGGTTTGGCTCAGTGGATAGAGCGTGGGCCTGCGGACTGAAAGGTCCCAAGTTCAATTCCCGTCAAGGGCATGTATATTGGTTGTGGGCACATCCCCGGTAGAGGGTGTGCAGAAGGTCAATGTTTCTCTCTTATCAACATTTCTAGATCTCTATCCGTCTCCCATTCTCTCTGTGGAAAATCAATAAAATATATTTAAAAACAAAAACAAAGATACCACACTCCATTTATTCATGGAGGACAGTCCCATAAATTCAAGCTGTGACAGTGAGCGCCCTGCTCTCTAGTTCATCAACTAACATTTCTGCTGCAACATATTTCTGTTTTGCCAAGTATTTCAAATCTTCATTATTCGTTGCTTTCTCGCTATGCCCAGTGACAGTTGGCAGACGCTGTTATCCTTGCTTAATAATCCAACCTGCCCAGGGAATAGCCTGGATTAGAGGCTGTGATGCTCCAAGCTCATGAATAAGCATTATGAGTCTGCTGTCTAGAGGCGGTGAGTAATTCGGAGGTCTGTTCGGGGGAAATCCAGTTAAGCATCTGGCAGACTTGATTGCTTCAGAGCTTTGTCTTGGTTTCCTCCTTCTCTCTGATGATTTCTCCTTAGGGAAATTCCTCTCATTCCCCTTTCCTTTAAGGTTGGTATAGTACCAAGTCCTGACCCCAGCCCTCCCCTTGCTTTCTTCTCTTCATCCAGCTACAAAGTATTGGAGCTCTTATGACATGGGCATGTCAACTGCTGGCTGGCTTTTGAGTCTATTTCTGGCCCGCCCCCTGTTCTGCCCTGTGCTTCTGTTTACTTACAATGTAGTATGAGCGATATGGTGTAACATTGGAGGGTGGGTGGAAGAAGAGGGCCAGATACTTCCTTCCCCGCCCCCCTCCTTCCTGTGAAGCTTCACTGGTCACCTGTCCAGCAGTCCTTACTGTGGTTCCAGCTCCTGTCAGACGGTGGGTGCCCCTCCTCCACGGTCCCTGCAGCCCTAGGGGTGATGGCAGCTTCTAGCTGTGACTGATCTGTGGGGTGCCTCATTGCTCCCCATTTGGCTGTCCAGCTTTTCTATTCCCTTTTTAACCAATGCTCTACATTAAATCTCATCTGCTTGAAAACCTGGCTCTGTCCTGAATGACACAGAAAGACAGCATTCTTAGTTAGGAGCTATACAAACCAACCTTGACACTGGCAGGAAAGACATTTATCCGAACGCTATCGGAGAGATCAAAGAGTCTGAGGGGACCAAAGATACGTGCTCCAAACCTTCCCAAGTCTACTGTCTGGGTGAAGCGTTGGTCTCAGTCACACCACATGTGCCACCAACACTGGATGCTGCAAGTTACCATTCAAATGGTTGTCTCTGCCACTATCTGTCCACAGAACCAAATATGGGCATTTCCCACTTCATGACATCACTGAGGGAATAGGTGTATCTGATTGACAAAGACAAGGTGGTGTGCCCATGCCTGGGTATATATGCATCTGATCCTTTCATGGGAGATGCACTATTTAGAGGTGGCAGAGTTCCCTCAATACAGGAGAGGGGTTTGAATGCTAAGTGGACATTCTGGGTGAGCAGACCTTGAGACAAGGATACCCATGTAAAGTCTCAGTGGAGTCATCGCTCTGGGATAACTAAAGCACGTCCCAGGGTCATCCAACCCTGGCGAGAGCAGCTGGGTGCGGCTTAATTCTCCCAGCTCCATTTCTCCCTCCCGCATGTGCGAGCTGGTCGTTGAAAGTTGGGCCAGTGTAAGCTGAAAGGTGAGGGATAAAGGGGGTGGCAGGGCACCAAGGACGGGATAAGACAAAAGGCAAAGGTGCCCAGACACTAGGAACAACTAAGTGTTCAAGATACAATAGTGAACAGGAGAGAAAAGCATTTCTGACCTCCCTAAGCGGGTGGTCTGAAGATGTGAACAGTCAAGTACAAGACTGTGGGGCAAGAGCAGTAACACAGCCTAAAGAGAAAGAGCTAGACATGCAGCCTTGGGGACCTAGGAGGATTGGGAGGGCATCCTACTCATATTTGAATCCCCGTTGCCTAGGGTGGTACCCATTTATTACATGTTTTCTGGCCCAATACTGAACTGTCAAGCAGAGTTCTGGTGTTATTAAATTCATTAGCTCTGTTTCTCAATTTACCACCTCAAGGTAGATGTGTCCCTATTTTACTGGAAGAAAGTTAAGGCATTTGTAGTTACTCTTAACCATCTGAAAACTCCTAGTCACTCTTTATATCTCAGCTTTGATATACTATTGTATACCCGAAAGGTTTGCCCACACAGTGTGCCCATTTCCAAGCCTGGGCTATCCCTATCAGAGAACTTATCCTCTGATTGTAATTCGTAATTCATTCTCGTCTGTTGGAAGGAACTGAGCCCTTTCAGAGCAAGAAAGATATCCGTCTTGTTTAGTACTGCAGGCTCAGCATACAGACTAGGGCCAGCACATTCTAGTTGTGCAAACCTCATTTACACTGATAATTTTGTGAATGGCCTGAATACACAAATAAGGCTCAGAGATGTGGAGTGTCTTGACCACCTCAAACCTAAGAGGTGGCAGAACTGAGGCTTGAGCTACAGTTGGTCTGATCCCCAAATAATTCTGTACTTTGCTGAGCATTAAACAACTTATTCACCTATGGCTGTAGTCAGCAAACTGTGGCTCGCGAGCCACATGCAGCTCTCTGGCCCCTTGAGTGTAGCTCTTCCACAAAATACCACGGCCTGGGTGAATATTTTGAAGAAGTGACATTAAAAGAAGTTTAAAAAACTTGGCTCTCAAAAGAAATTTTAATCATACTGTTGATATTTGGCTCTGTTGACTAATGAATTTGCCGACCACTGACCTATGGCACCTAGAACATTTAAGTTGGCTTAAAGGCTGCTTTCTTAAGGCCAAAATAATGGGGCAGGAAGTGCCTAAAAACATCCTATAATCATTAAATGGAAGGATTGCAAAGCAGAACGCTAGACCTAAAGCTAGAAGAAGGTTCTCTGAGGATAGGGCCCCCAGCCAAAGCTTTGGCTGGACACCTTTAAAATGTCCCATAGATTTAACATTCTGAGGTCTTTAACCTAAATAACTAATTGGCATCCAAATTGGGAAGAAATAAAACTATGAATAATTTGCAGCTTACATTATTTTACATATAGAAAACCCCATAGACACCACCAAAAACCTACTTGAAATAGTAAGCAAATACAGTATTAAAAAATACAAAAATCTCTATCTACTAGCAGCATACTGTCTGAAAATAAAATATAAGAAACATTCACAATCCCATGAAAAAGAATAAAAGACATTGTTGAGAGAAATTGGAGAAAACATACAAAAATGGACAGTATGAATAATTAATATTGTTAAAATGTCCATACTACCTAAAGCACTCTATAGATTCAGTGCAATCCCTATCTCATTGGCATTTTTCACAGAATAATTCTAGTATGGGACCACAAATAGCCAAAGCAATCCTGAGAAAAAAATCAAAACTGGAGGTATCACACTCCCCAATACTACAAAGATATAGTAATCAAAACAGCCTGGTATTGGCACAAAGACGGACACAGACCAATGGGACAGAATAGGGAGCCTAGAAGTATGGACAACTCATTTACGATGAAGTAGCCACGAATATAAATGTAGAAAAGTCTCTTTAATATATAGTTCTGGGAACCTACTTTAGACCATACACAAAACTTAGCTCAAAATGAGTGTATTAAAGACTTGATGTAAGACCTGAAACAATTACATGCACCGCAGAAAACAGGCACTAAAGCTTCTGGACATCAGCTCACGGTGGTGTTTTGTGAATTCCCTTGTGAAAGGCAAGGGAAACAAACTGGAAATAAACAAATGGGACTACATCAAACAAAAGCTTCTGCACAGCAAAAGAAACCATCAACAAAAAAAGGGCAACCAACCGAATCAGATACTGATGTGCATTTAAGAGGAATATTTCAAATTCCATTGCAAAACATTCATTTTCATGTATCTTCTTTTTGTGCTCTTTTTTTTTGAATTTGAGAAGTAAGCTTAGAGACAAAAACCCACATTTCCTGAGCCAGACAGAACAAAAGTACACTCTCTCCATCCCTGGAGTTTATCCATATGCCTCTTTAGATTAAGAGAAGTTTGACAGTACACAAGGAAAATTACTTTAAAAACCACGGCTATGGTAGGCATGGGAACTATAATCCTATAATATTAAAAATTCTTTTGAATTTAGTTAACATGAATGACAACTTTCACAATACATGAATATGGTTTTTGGAGTCAAGGTGAAGTTGCAATACTCACATTCAGCTGGCCAGCTGAGAGGATCTGACCCGTTTTCCCTCTTCGCTCTGCAGGGGTGTGGTGCAGATGACATCGCAAAGAAGAGGACTCACCTTACGGTGCCAGGCTGTATTTTCCCGGAATGGCCGTGTTAATATTCCCATTCCCACGCATGCCTGCGGAACTTGTTCCTTTCCTTTAGAAAGATGGAGTCTACTTCTCTTCTTGCACTTGGGCAATGCCTTCTGAGTACCTTGAATAAAAGAGGAAGTGATGCTGTGTGACTTCCAAGGTCAGGTCATAAAAGGTGAGACAGCTTCCACCTGGCTCTTTCTTTGAATACACCCTGTTTGAACCCCGGACTGCATGTGATTCAACATAAGCAGTCTTGGACCACATGTAGGTGTTGCAGCCAACAGCCAGCATTCACCATCATCAGATTCATCAGCCTCCAGAGAAAAAAATGTCCCTGCCACACCCCACCCAAATTACAAACCTGTGAGCAAAATAAACATTGTCATTGTCTTAAATTACTGTTTTGAGGTGGTTTGTCCTGTAGCTGCTGGAATATACTTGTCAAATGTCTTAATTCTGTTTTATCTTCTGTCAACAGAGTGTGTCACTTCTCACCAGGAAAACAATTTAACAATCATGCGTATGTTCTAGTATCTGACTCTCAAAAGAAGTGCCTTGTATCCACTATGTGACTAATACCATGTGAGAGGTATGCTTGCTCAATGGGAGCAATGCAAATTCTTTCTTCAAAAATTATAAAAATAATACATACTCATGAAAATTCAAACTTTTTGGATTTTTAGTAAAAATAGGGGGATTTTTAGTAAAAATAGGGGGGGAAAAATCCCACTGTGTTGCCTTACTTTCCCTCAGTTCCCCATCTTTCTAAGGTAACCATACCAAGTCCAGTGTATCCTTTCAGACCCTTCTCAGCTTTCATCCACCTTTATACACACATACCCCTACATATATATCATAGGCAAATTGCACTATAGATCATGAGTTTCTTTTCAGTATGTTCTTAAAGCAAGCTTGTTCATAATAATTGTGATCAAGATATGAAGATGATGATAATGGTTTACATAGTTTAAAATCTCTTAAAATATGTACCAGCCAATGCAGAACATGGATAGCTTGGAATTTGTAATATGGGAATATTTATACCAAAAAATGGAAAATACTAAAATTCAGGGGTTTTGTTTCTGGAAAACTAGTTAAATTTATCATCAAGAATCATGTTTGGACCCTGTTGGCATGGCTGAGTGGTTGAACATCTACCTCTGAACCAAAAGGCTACAAAATTTGATTCCTGGTGGAGCCATATGTCCAGACTGTGGGTCCGATCCCCAGTGTGGGGTGTGCAGGAGGCAGCTGATCAATGATTCTCACCAATGATGTTTCTCGCTCTCTCCCGACCTTCCTATAAAAAATAGAATCATGTTTGTCTTTAGCTATTACTACATCCAGGATAGTGTCCAGACATGAAGGCTCTCAATACATACATATTTGTTGAATGAATGAAAAAATATTATAATCATAAGTTCAAAGAATATTCCAGTTAATGCACTTCTGAAAAGAATGTAACCTACCAGTTTGCACGTGAGCATGCTTTCAGAATGCAAATTCTACTTATTCTTTGTTTTCAGCCATTTCTTTCATTTGGATAATTAGATTACCTTCTGTGTGAGCTCTCAGAAACATTGACATAGCTAAAGCATGCAATTCACACAGAGGCACAGGTCTCTTCAATCTCATAAATTTCAATCTCATAAACAAAACATATAATCTATTCTACCCTCATCTCTTATTTGCTTTGGTTATACTCAAATGGCTTTTCAGGAGGGAGTGAGTCAAGAAAAAAATATAAAGACATATACAGAACATGTGGTTACATGTGCATGAGTATGCAGGCATATGTAGGAATTCCTTTTTGGAGGAATCTATATTCATATTAAATAGTATCTTCTTTAAACAGAAATGGCCAGAGGTTGGTGTTATATAGGGAAGAAAGTATGAATTAAAAAAATTTAAAAAGGATAGCAATTTGGGATTTGTTTTCTGTCAGAGGATGATGGTGTCTCGAAATGTAAACACTGCCCAAATATAAGCAACTTATGCACTTCAGGCCTAGAGAAGCTAAGGCAACTGTAATAATTGGGTGGAGGACAAAGGCAGTCTTAAAGAACAAAACTATGAATATTATTTAGCCATTAATACCTGTTCCAGGATTCAGGTCACTGACAATAATTGTGATTTGTAGAATAGTGGATATCTACATGGCATTTCCCCAAATTCCATCTCTGCTTAAAATGCAAATGCTTTCCAAAGCAGATTTATCTTTTCAGTAAGTCTTTTTGTGTCAGGCTGGTTATGAAGAAGATGAAGGATTGTGGTTTTGGTATTGGTTGACTCACCAATTATTCCTTAGGCTGGTTCCTTTCAAAACTAAATGCCAATTTGTCAGTACAGAATTATTTTTTCTTTCCTTTTTTATTTTTTGGAGATTTCAGGAAATGTTAGCAATCTCTGTTTTGTTGCTATGAAAAAAACTCATTAGACTATTATAACTAATGGCATAGCTTATGGTGAGAGTCACACATTACCACTGGGAAGTAGATTTTCCTGTAAGTCCTTGCTTCTGAGGCATATCAAAAATGTCCACCACTGAAAATGCAGTCATCACGCTGGTAGCATTTCCAAAACCAAAGGCACTGGAGACTGCAAGGAAGCCAAGAGAAAGCTCTGTATTACCCCTATAAAAATCAAAGAGAAGGAACTTAAGGGAATATCTAAGAAAATTTCTAGCATTCCAAAGCTTTGTCAAGTCATAAAAATAAGTTATCAAGAAATCTTAAACGAAAGAGTAGAAAAATCACAGCTGGGCACCTTATGAAAGTCCAAGGATGAGTCAATATTAGAAAAAACGATTAGTATAATCCACTAAATTATAAATCACAAAACTAGCTTTTTCTCCCTTCTAATCCCATCCCCTTCCCTTCTTAAACAATTCCAAGCCCATTAGCTAAGCCCAAGGAGAAGTGGGGGTGTGCCCGAACTTGAGTGGTATGAGAAGAGCATACACAGGGAGAGAGCAGTGGTTTAGATGGAAGACTTGTTTTACACAATGATTTGATCATATAGATGTGAATTATATCTGTTGTTACTTTTAAAAATTTACCCATAATGTGTCTTTAGTTTTATTCAATATGGAGCAATTGTTTAATCTTTTTCTTGATATTTTTGAAAATTATAGGTCAGTTCTTTTATAGATTGCTTCTCAGTTTTATTTTTGACTTCTATTATCCTTAACAATCTTAAGGATAATAGAAGTCAGGTTTCTTATTCTCAGAGAAGGGAGTTACAAATGGGGAAATGGAGAAATCTAGAATAAACCAAAGTAGTTGGATTGAAGTAAAAATATCCCTATAAACTTCATAGATTTTTAATAGGTGGATGGATGGATGAATAGATAATCAGACCAACAGATAATATAGAAAATCACAGACATAAAGGTATGTATACACATAATCATACATATATTCTCTAGCCCTGTCCACTGAGAGGGATTTGGGGGCAGTGACATCCAAAGAGCAATGAGCCTACCTTAGAGCTCAAATTGTGGTCTTTAAATATTGTTCTTCACCAAGAGAAATCAGGCTTCTTTGAAAAATGGCTGGTGTTAGGGTGGGGAAAGACATAATAAAGATAAATCTAGAGCAGCATCTTGCACCAGAGAGTAAGGAAGTGGTCAAAGAATGAACGGGTCACACTGAGAGAACACAGAAGCAGTGTGATGGTGTTCCCACTGGTCAAATCTGGAATAATTTGACATCAAAATAGATACTTTAGTAATGGATCATAACATGGCAAATAAAATATGAAAACATGGGTTTATACAGATATACTGTAAATAAATGAATAAATGTTTGATAAAGAATGAGGTGATCACACCCTTTCAAAGTAACTTTTCACAAAGTAAAGTTATTTGAAAGGAAAAAGAATAACTTTATAGGAGATTAATCTGACATATAACACCATAATCAAGTGACCAAATTGAGCATCACTAGCACTTGGGACAAATAAAAATCATGTACCACTTGATAACACACAATGATAGGAACACAGTATCCCTTCTGTGATATTTCTGGCCAAGATACATAACCTGGATGTAATCGTAAGGAAAGATCAGACAAACTAAGACTGAGGAGCAATCTATAAAAGAACTGACCTGTACTTTTCAAAAATATCAAGAAAAAGATTAAACAATTGCTCCATATTGAATAAGACTAAAGACACCTTATGGGTAAATTTTTAAAAGTAACAACAGATATAATTCACATCTCATAAACTTCAACCTTTCTAAGTATATGAATAAATGTTTCTACAATAGTTTATTCACAAAGATGTGCAATCACAAACACCATCTAATTTTAACACATATTTTACCTGGAAATTTTACCAAGGAGGTAGAAGACATGACAACTAGAAGACACTGTGGAAAGGAATTGCAGAAGACACAAATATATGGAAAGATATTACATGCTCATGGGTTGGAAGAATTAATAGTATTAAAATACCCATAATACCTAGAGCAATCTACAGATTCAATGCAATCTTTATCAAAATCCCAAAGGCATTTGTTCACAAAAACAGAATAATCCTAAAATTTGTATGGTGTTACAAGATAAACTGATAAACAAAATAGATCCAAAGACATAAAAGCATGGAAGAGACTGATGAATTTCAGAGGGAAGGCAGGGGTTGGGATGTGTGTGGAGATTAATCAAAGAATTTATATGCATATATGTATAACCAATGGACACAACCAATAGTGTGGTGATGGCCTCGGTGGGAAGGGTAGAGGGGGGAAGTCAGTGGGGGCGGGGGGAAGGGACATCTGTAATGCCTTGAACAATGGAGATAAATTTTAAAAAATAATAATAGAACTACCATATAATTCAGCTATTCCACTTCTGGATATTCATTCAAAGTATACAAAAACACAAATTAGAGAAAGACATGCACACCTATGTGCACTACAGCATTATTTACAACAGCCAAGATATGGAGAAAGCCTGGATGTCCATCATCTTATGAGTAAAGATGCTTTAATATATATTCACAATGGAATAGTCAGCCTTAGAAAGGTAAAACCAAGCCACTTCAACAACACGGATTAAATTTAAGGATATTATGCTAAGTGCAACAAGTCTAATAGAAAAAGACAAATATCACTCCTATGCATAATATTTAAAAAACGAATTAACTAACAACAAAATAAAAAGAAATTTATAGAGGAAGACAACAGATAGGTTACCAGTGGAGGGAGGGCAAAACAGGTAAAAGGAGTCCATTCTATGGTGACAAATAGAAAATGGACTTTTGTTGGTGAGCATGATGTAGTATATGCAGATATCAAATGGTAATATTGCACCTGAAAATCATGTTGTAAAAAATCAATCTTACATCAATAAAAATAAATACAACTAGATTCTCACATACACAATTTAGAATATTTTCATAACCCCATAAAGAAAAGTACCCAATAACAGTCACTCTCCATTCCCTCTACCAAAAACCCCAATCCCTAGGTAATACTAATCTTTCATTCTATGGATTTGCCTATTCTGGAGCTTTCCTATAAAGAGATTCATACAGTATATGGTCTTTTGTGACTGGCTTATTTCACTTAGCATAATATTTTCAAGGTTCATCCATGTTTTAAGATGTATTAATACTTCATTCTTTTTGTAGGCTGAATAATATTCCATTGTATGGATATACCATATTTCATTTATCTATTCATCAGCTAATACACATTTAGATTTGTGATTATGATAATCCTATCATCATTTGTATATAATTTTTTAATGGACTGCATGTGATTAAAAAACTAGATGTTGCCCCAGCTGGTTTGGCTCAGTGGATATGTTGCCCTAGCTCAGTGATTTACTCCGGCAAACTTATTAGTCAACAGAGCCAAATATCTAAATTTAAACTTTTTCTAAGGCTACTTCTTCAAAATAGACTTGCCCAGGCCGTGGTATTTTGTGGAAGAGCCACACTCAAGGGGCCAAAGAGCTGCATGTGGCTCATGAGCTGCAGTTTGCCCACCAAGGCCCTAACTGGTTTTGCTCAGTGGACAGTGACAGCCTTTGGATTGAATCATCCCAGGTTCGATTCCAATCAAGGGCACATGCCTGGGTCAATCCCCAGTAGGGGGCGAGCAGGAGGCAGCTGATCAATGTTTCTATCTCATCATTGATGTTTCTATCTCTCCCTCTCCCTGACTCTCTGAAATCAATAAAAGTATATTTAAAAACAACAACAAAAACCAGATGTTATTGGGATGTGGCTGGCACTTTTGGCAGAGTCTGAATAGGTTCTAAAAATTAGATGATACATTACTATTATTTATTTTCTGGTATTGGTAGTTATATTTTGATTACCTAGTATTACTTGTTTGTAGAAAACACACTAAAGTATTCAGAGTTGATGGGGCATCATGTCAGTAACATGTTCTCAAATGGTTTAGGAAAAACAGTTTTTGAACTATATCTGCAACCTTTCTCTACATTCAAAATTGTCTCAAGACTTCCAAACTAATTTTATGAGGCCAACATTAACCAGATACCAAATCCAGAGAAGATGCCACAAGGAAATTACAGACCAACAGAGATACAAAAATCCTCAATAAAATATTAACAAATCAAATTTAAAAATACACTAATAGGATCATACACCATGATCAAATGAGATTCATTCCAGTGATGCCATGATGGTTATGTCTTTATGTTGCCTAACTACTTTTACTAAAACTTCCATTGCCATGTTGAATAAAGTGGTGAGAGTAGTCATCTTGTTTTGTGCCAGGATGGTTCAACATCCGCAAATCAATCAGTGATATGCCACATTAACAAAATGAAGGATCAAAACCACATACTTATCTCATTACATGCAGAAAGAGCATTTGGCAAATTTCAACACCCATTTATCATAAAAATTCTTAAAGTAGGTATGCCAAACCCACAGTTAACATTATATGCAATGGTAAAAAGTTGAAAGCATTTCCCCTCTGATCAGGAATAGGACAAGGATATATATTGTCATCTGTTAAAAATAATAAATTCAGTGCAATTGGAGGACACAAAAATCAATATACAAAAAATGCTGTTGAAGCTTTCTCGCTTTCCCTTTTGAGCATGCCCACGCCTTCCCCCAGGCCTGTTTTCTCTGCCTTTCTTTTGCTCACGCAGCACAGCTGGCTCACATTTTCTATGTCTTTCTGTATTTTCTCTTATACTTTGAAAACAAAACAAACACCAAAAATATGTTGAATTTCTATACAATAATAAGAAACTATCAGAATGAAATTAAGAGAACCCCATTTATAAATGCATCAAAAAAGATATACCTAGGAATAACTTCAACCAAGGGGATGAAAGACCCATACCCTAAAAGATTACAAGTCATTAATGAAATTAATAAAAGATATTGAAGACAAAGAAATGGAACAATATTTTATGCTCATGGATTGAAATAATATTGTTAAAATTTCCACACTACCCAAAGCAATTTACAAATTGAATGCTATCTCTATCAAAATTTCAAAATAAAAAACTTTTGCACAGCAAAAGAAACCATCAACAAGAAAGTCCATAGCATGGGAGAACATATTTGCGAGAGTTATCTCTGATAAGTGTATGATCTTCAACATT